TGAGACTTCTGAAGGGGGACTTACCCGGGGAAATGGGTGGTCGGCTATGTGTAGGTAGGGGGCGATGGCCCGAGAACTCCAGCTAAGGGACTGCACATTCAAAGGACGGGAACCAAGAAGGATCGAAGGGGGAGTATAAATGTATATACCAACAAATAATGAATGGAGAGGGGCCACGTGTGATTGAGTAGGACTTGAAATTATACCAGAACTGTCATACCTATGGATAGAACGTGTCTGGAACCCGCTAAGGGAAGAGGAAGGATGGGAGAAGATTGCAGAAGGAAGGGTGGAATCGGTCGGGACGGTCATTCTCTCCGAGCAGGGATGACACTTGTTTTGCACGACGCTCGCGGCAGGGCAGAACCCGATGTGGCTTTTAGGGGACGCTAAGGCAAGAGCTTGACAGGCGGGTGAGAAGTTTGCCAACAAAGGATGGGATGTGGTCGACAGTAAGGTCGTGATGGGGGGATGGAAAGAGTTTAGACCTCCCTGCCTACAAATCAAGACTTGGGTACCCGAGTTCGTGGCTGACTGGTTTGGGGGTTTCGACCACGTCGCGGAGGTGGCTAGCACTATGGGATGGGTACATGTAAACTGCGCATGGTTGACGGAAGAATTCTATAAAACGTCGCTGAAATTTGGGCCCTTCCACGACGACAAAGCCTGGGAGGTCCTCATCATTTTGGATATAGACAGGAACGACCAGCTAGAGGTGGCCCCAGAAGTAAGAGAAACTATAATTCGCCGCGAAGTAACCGCCACGTCTTGCTATGTAGATGATGTGTTTAAACTATTCGAAGTACTGTGGTTCGACTTGGAGCGGGGAAAATCGCAGGGCCAGCCGAGTATGGAAAATTACTGAGATAAGGAGGTGGGATGTCTGGCCATTGTAAGGATCATTGCGGATTGCGGAGTAAAAGACCGAAGACAGGCGCGCGATGGCACGAAGGAGGACGTTCCTTGAGGACCGCCCGCTGGGCATTGAGCCGTCAAGGGAAGTAACTGGCAGAGTAGAAATCAGCCTGCCTGCCACGAGCGAGGGATGACACCCGGTGGTGGATTGGATCGGGATCGAGCTTATGGAAAATACGGTTTACCTAGTGACAAGGGTTGAATGATGCATGGATGAAAACGGCGAGTGGAACCTGGACCCACGAGGACATGTGCGTGTGGAAGGTTGGTTGTATGTGTCCGAGGACGGATGGCGGGCGTTCGGAGTCCTATTGGCATCAGGGGAGGATCCGTTAAGTATGTTCGAGGGAGCATGGCAGCTAGTGTGGCAGGCAGGGTTCAAATTCGCAGACCCGAAATTTGACGACGTAACGGCGAATCTTAGGGTAGTCATGGATGAGAGATTCAACCTGCCTGGTGAGAACGCCCAGATGAGGTTGCCGCCCTTCTTACTAGAACAGCTAGGCGGGCTGGGGCTTGTCAGGCGGGCAGTGGCCGACCTCGCCTACCTAACGTTTGAGAAAGCGATGGTCCACCGGGAATATTACCGGGCCTTCCTAGAAATGGGACCATTCAGCGGTGAACAGAGGTATGAGGTATTGCGAACCCTACGCGCCGTATTTACCACCAGGCCAAGAGCTCCGGTTGTTAGCGACGAGGTTCTATGGGGCGTTGTTCGACGAGAGATAACCCGGGGAATGACTTACGTAGATGACCTGTACGGCCTGTATGAGCCGACAGAAGTAAGGACGGGTCAATGAAAGAGACAAGAGAAGAGAGGGGAATAAAAAGGGAAATAATATCGAGTTAAGGACCGGGGAGTTGCCCAGGTGAGGGTCGATGAATTGATGAAATAAGTAAAGCTAGCCTGCTGTTTAAACTGTTAATCAATAATGGCGATGAGACGTGCCCGGATGTCGCGACGGCCCACGCACCCTCGACCACCCACGGAAAGTGGAGACGGATGGGAGGTATCGCTCCCGGCAAGCTACATGGTCCGAGGGATTGGCACCGAATGGAGAGCTGTGACCTTGGGAAGGGACCAAGCGTTTATGATGGTAGAATGTTTGTGAAGCGGTATGAGGTTCAATAGGGGGTCGGGGGACGACCTGTATTCCGACCTGAAGGTGACAGGAACCGTATACCTGCCGGAGATTGGATGACACATGCTAGGAACGGAGTTGGCACTAGGGCATGGACTGTTACCGATCTTCCAAAGGGCTACAAGGATAGTGAACCGGATAGGCCAGGAGGTGCGAGGGAGAAGGAACGCGGGACTGAGAACTCGGGTGGAGGTAGGAGGATGGCGAGAGTTTAGGGCCCCGATGACGGGATTGCGGTGCCGAGTGCCTCGTTTCATGGTGAACCTGGTTTTTGGCAGCCTCTCAAGGGCAAGAGACCTGGTGGACTCGACCTTGGTGTGGATCCACCACTTCCGGCCACAGACGACGGGAATGTTTTATAATGTATCGATTAGGCACGGGCTGTTTTGAGGAAATCGGGCCCGCGAACTACTGGAGCTCATCGAAATCCTGATATTCGGGTTACCACGCTTGGCGTTTGAGGAGTATGAGTCAATAATTATCGGAGAAATAGAAATGGGAGAAAACTACCTTGCGGGGGTGGCTAACCTATTCGAAGAACCCGACGAACAGGACAGGCATTGGGGACCGGCGTGAGAAAAATCCCGGAAAAAGTAGGCGAAAGCAAAAGCTAGAAATTGAAATGAGGGATTGACCATTGCGGAAGGAAGCGGTCGGAACCTTATCCTACCTAAGAACATGGCAGGAAGGGGCTAGGAAGGCCAACACCGCTAAGGACGCTGAGGGTATCTGGGAGCCAGGAAGGCAAAAAGGGCTATCCTCGGTAAGAGAGCCACCAGCCCGGGATACCGCCCTAAAACCAAGGCATGGCAGTGACAAAACGTCGAACCTCGGCAGCGAGCCTTTCAATAGAAGAAAAGTAAATTGCGCCCTGCTGAGTAAAAAAACGTCAGATAAGCCGTTACGGCCGATAAGAGACAGGAAAATATGGAAATAGCGAAAATAAGGGCCTTAGGACCTGGGAACTAGGGAAGCTGTGAACAATCGGCCGTTTCACGAAAAAAAATTCCCATGTGTAGGGTTAAGAAACCATGGCATCGGAAGAGGAGGCGGGGAATTTACGAAGCAAAGGGAGTCAGGGCACAAAGAGGGGTGCAGAACGAAATGAAGGGTCAGTAAGGGACCGAGAATCAGCAAATCCGGAGGGAACCAAGGAAGACGGGAATGATCTCTCGACGGGGGAAAGTTCGGGAAAGGCTGGCGGAAGTAAATGAGGATCTAAGGAGAATAAGGAAGGAAGGGACAAGGAAAGGTAAACTCCGCGGAACTCAGATGAGATCATAGTTAAGAAAGCGAAAGTCTCAGATACCCGGCGTAAGCTGACAAAAATAGAGAAACAAACCTCGGAGTATAAGGCGAAACTTATTGAAGAAATGATGGCTGGCAACGAAAGAGACCTTCCAGGAGAAGAGTTACGAGAGGAGCGCAGGACTAGCCAGGGCGAAATCAGGCACGAAGGGAAGGATAATAGCCATAGGGGGACACCCAACAAGAAAGGGAAGGAAAAGGGGGATTCCCCGACCGTAGAGGCAGAAAAGACTACGACCCCACCCGCTATAGACAGTGGTGCTAGCCGTTTGCCCACCACGCCAAAAGTAACGAAGGGGTGCGACGGACTTTGGAGTCTCAGAGAAAGGGTGTTAGGATGGTTTGATCCGGAAGGTACACCAAAGGCCGGGGAAAAGCAGAGGGACAGTAAGGAAAGAGAAGGGACCAGTACAGTCAATGAAGCAGGTAGCTCTGAGGGGGGTCTTAAGTGGATAGTAGTCACTCTCACTCAGGCCCTGAATAAGAATCAGGGGTATCTTGCGGATGCTAAAAAGAAACTTACGTTTGACGGGGCGAACATTACGGAGTTCCTGATAGACTACGAGAACCTGACAGCCTTGTTGAAATGGAGTGAGGAAGAAAAGATGGATCATTTAGGGCAGCATGTGTCGCTAAGCTTAGGGAGGGACATTATGGCTATCATCGCCGCTAGTGGATCATGGAAAGAGACTCAGAACAAGATGATGAGGAAATAACTGAAGGCAGAGAAAATGACAACAAAAGTTGAGTTGGCAGTGGTCCAAAGGAAGAACTATGCGACTTACAATGACTTCCTGAGGACATTTACCCTAGTGGCGTTACGGATTCCCGAGGTAACGGACCGAATAATGAGGAAGTATTTTCTCAGGCAGTTCTTCGAGTTCGACAAAGATAAAATCCTGTCGGCCTACCAGCAGACTAGTAAGTTTGAGTACACAAGGGATGTGGACTTCAGCACAGTAACAAACCTCGCAGAAAAGACAGTGGTGACTGGGACGCTGACCCTTCTTAAGGAAGGAGAGGTTATAGGCCTGACCGGGAAAACAGGGGATAAGGTCAATAAGGGGATAGAAAGCCTGCATGAACGAGTGCACGGGGTTGATAATAAAATAGAAAGAGTGGAGAATGTGTTACTGGTAATGCAGGCGCAAGTGTCCCGACCCGCCCTCCCACCCCAAAAGGCCATCGTTCCGGCAGCAGTAGCGAACCGAGAGTATGGCAGGAGGAATCCGGTCAATGAGCAATGCAGGTATTGCACAATGACCGGACATTTCGTGCGGACCTGCCCAAGACTCAACCATAATATTATGAGGCAAAGATGCAGCAGGTCCTTTAAAGGTGAAATTTTCGGGCCTCAGGGAGAGCGCATAAACTGGAATTCGCCAGGAGGGATGTGGCGTGCCGCCATCATCCTGAATAACCTGGATATAGCTGCCGTAGAAGTCGAGCCGGTAGCTGACATTTTTTGGGACCAACCGAGAGAACGCGGACCACAAGTCAATTTCATCCTAGAAGGTAATGGACAGGATAGGGTGAACATCACCACCCGGCGGGCAGGGGCGGAAAATAAACTTATTCGAGATACGGTAATGGAAGAGGTTATGGGGACTAGCGCAAATCAAGGTGAAACCGAGACCGGGGAGTTGGAGAAAGTCTACGGAAAAGCAAGGGAAGAAGAGCCGATAGACAAAGCAGTGGCGGCAAAGAAGAAATTCATGTAACAAATTCCGATCCTGCCTTCGCTAGAAATCGACGATACCCTGAGCAAACTGCTAGGTACCATGGTATCTGTATCCTTTCAGACCATGTTGCAAGCAAGTTTGAGATTGCTTAAAGGACGCAGGCAATTACTAACACGCCGACACGTAGACGTAGAGGAGGCCCCAGAACCACAGGAGCAGGAAACGGAGGAGGCCGATGCACCGCAAGGGGTCTCCAACCTCCAGAGAATTCCAGGGGATCTGGAGGACCTGGAAAAAACATTTGCAGACATCCGCCTAAGCCTGTCGGACCGAGAAGGTGGAGAAGTCATGAGGGCACCGCCCGGGACGAAGCTTAGCTTTCATGCGCTGCCCGTAGGAAAGTTAAAAGTCCAGATCGGAACCCACCACACAGATGCATTAATGGACTGTGGGGCAGAAATTACCCTCATACGACGAGACTTCGCAACAATTACGGGTTGTACGGTAAACAAGGAGGTGATGGGGAGTATCCTGGGAGCCGGCGGGGATATTCCCTTTGCAAGGTACGTCACGAAATGCGCAGTTAAGGCGGGGATCAGGGAATCGATCTGGTCTTTCCAGCGAATGACCGTGATGGAAGAAATTGACCATGACATAATTTTCGGGAGACCATGGTGCGCCAACGTAGAGATGATAGGTATGCATCTGCATGATAGCACGTACATGGTGGATATAGAGGACCCAGTGACCGGCCGCGGAGAACTCCTCCGACTCCTTGGGACCGGAGGGGATCCTCCGAAGGGCAAGTTGGCAACCTGGTCACCAACGTTCGAAGATAGTGCACGAAAAGGGGCATTCACCCGAATGGAAGGTATGAGGGAAAGAGTGAACATCATGATTGAGGAGGCCTTTAACAAAAAGGAGTGGATCAAGATGGGTCTGCATCTGAAGAAAAGGAGGCAAGAGGACGAGGTCGTAGGGGTTATGGTGGCAGAAAAGGAGTCGAAAGTCGAACTTGGGGCCAACTTGCCCAAGCCAAAGGAAGGTCGGAAGGAAACGTCGGAGGTAGTGCTCGAAATCCCAGACTTGTTACAACTCATTAAGGCTATCAGGTACCACAAAGTGGGGGTGGATCCGGCAGCGCTTGCCAAATTCGAAGATCCGGTCCGAAAAGACTATTGTCTTAACAGAAAGGTAGTCAGTCTTCAACCTCGCGCCCTGGAGGCGGCAAGGCCGATCCCGACCGTTCATTTCTTAGGAGAACGATCCCAGAAGGGAGTGTGCGAAAGTACAAACTGGTAGGAAAGAAAGCCAAACTGGTCTCAATCCTAGTAGAAACATCAAGGGAAGAGGCCATGGAAAAGGAGGAAGAAATCTTGCGGATAATAAGGGAGAGGTGAGCAGCGGAAGGGCGTCGGATACCTGATGGGGTAGCAGACACCATGAAAATAGGGGTAGATGGGTTCCTAACGGTGGAAGAGACCCAGCTGATAAGGAAAGCCTGCCAAAAGTTCCATTTAGCCTTTGCCGTCAATGACCACCAGAAAGGTCGATTGGATGCAAAGTTAATCTCCCCCGTTAGGATCCACACAGTGGAACACGAATGCTGAAATGATAAGGGGTCAGCCTACAAGTTCGGAATAGCGGCGGAAGTCAATGAACTGCTTAGAGCCAAGATAAATTCATTCGTGGCCGAACTCACCGCATCCCCCTACGCGAACAAATGGTTCGTTTTTCGAAAGCCGAACAAGACGCTCAGATGGATCCAGGACTTGCAGAAGCTGAATGCGGTAACAATCCGGAATGCGGGTTCGCTTCCACAGGCCGACCTACTGGCAGAATCCCATGCTGGCCAGAGCATTTATTCCTTGATAGATCTATATTCAGGATATGATCAACTGTCGCTCGACGCTAGGGAGAGACCGTACACTGCTATGCACACCCCGGTAGGACAACTGCAGATGCAAGTGACCCCTATGGGCTTTACAAACGTTGTGGTAGAGGCACAGAGGAGGATGCTTGCGGTAGCGAAGGACATGTTCCCAGAAAAATGCGAGCCATATATAAATGACAATCCCATAAAAGGCGCGCAGAACAAAGACGAGACGGAGATCTAGCCAGGGGTTTGGAAGTTCGTCTGGGATCACCTACAAGATATCAAGGACCTGCTCCAGCGGTTTCTGGTATATAACATCACCGCGAGCGGACCAAAGAGCATCGTGGCGGTCCCAGAAATGACCATACTAGGGTTTCGCTGTGGGGCTTATGGGAGGAAGCCGGACCTGGCAAAAACGGATAAGATCTCTTAACGACCAACACCCTTGCACACCACAACGGAAGTACGAGCCTTCCTAGGGGTGGTTGGATTTTGGAGTATCTTTATCAAAGGCTTTGCCAAAATAGCTGAGCCCATTCGTGCGATGATAAGAGACGGATGAACTATGGAATGGAGCGAGGACAGGGAAGCAGCGGTTCAGACCCTCAAAGACATCTTGTCCTCCGATCAAGTCACTTTGACAGCACCCTGCTTCAATGATGAAGTAGGACGACCCTTTATCCCGAAAACAGACGGGGGACCATTGGCAATAGGAGGAGCCCTGATACAGAAAAGCGAGGGCGACAAGGAAAGACCTATCAAATTTGAAAGTAGGACCCTGAATTCGGCAAAGCGGCGATACTCAGAGTTCAAGAAAAAGGTTTTAGTCATTTTACATTGCCTCAAAACCTTTCAGGCATACCTATTCGGAAGACGGTTTATATTGAGAATCGATCCGACTAATGGCGTCGGGGCATTAAAGAACTACAGGTCTATAGATCCGACCGTTGGGAGATGGATAGGCTTTATCTAGCAGTTCGACTACAAGGTCGAGCGAATTGCGGGGCTCCGAAACAGGGCAGACGGGCTAAGTCGGGTTTGCATCACGCCAGTGGAAGTAGAGGATGCGGAGCCAATCGACGCTTTCCTGGAGTACGAAGGGGGGACCCTTGTCGTAGATAACGAGATGGCGGGCGCCGCTCCTACAACAGGCCAGCTGCTGATTCAGACCCTAGAAAAGGGCGCGCCTGCCGTAGTTGCAGAACTTAGGGAAGGGTCTGTCACTATGATTAGACGCAAAGATGAGAAGGATTCGTGGGGAGCAACGGTGGGGCCGAAGGAAGAGCTGATGACAATGGCCGTTGAAGGGGGTCGGGAATGCCGTGATGTGCCTAGTATAAACTTGGACGCGAAGGGAGCTGCAGTGTCTAGTGAATTAGGCACAAGAGAAGCAAGATACCAATCAGGAGGGACAAAAATTCTTCCTTGTACAAATGTATGATGACATCTTCAGAGAAATCGACCTGTTGCTTATAAGAAACAAGCAGCCTATGGAAGTCGGCCTCAAGGCAAGGGAGGAAGCTGAAAGGTATGTTTTAAGGAACGGCCATCTGTTCAAGAGGGAAGTGGGAATGATGCCTAGGTGTGTCGTGTGCGGAAGGTCTAGGCAGTTGGACATAATTCAGGCAATGCATGATGGGTTAGTCGGAGGGCATCGGTCATCCAAAGGGACTCTTGCAAAAATCGCGCCACTATACTTCTGGCCAAGTATGGCAGGTATGGTGGCTACGTACTGTCAAACGTGTCTAATATGTCAGGAAAGGAGCTCCGCACGTGTCTTCGAGCCCCTTAGACCTACTCGGGTACTAGGGCCGGGACACCTGGTCCACCTCGACCTTGCGGTCATGCCTGTATCGACGGATGGATACAGGTACATCTTGGATGCAAGAGATAATCTTAACGGCTACGTAGAGGCAGTAACTCTTAAAAGAAGGACGAGAAAAAAAGTGGCCGACTGGATAAAAGACTTCTACCTAAGGCACCCCTTTGTGCGTAGGTTCATAGCGGATAATGAGACGAAGTTCATAAATCACGAAGTGTTGAGCAGGTTCAAGATGCTGTGCGTACCTATCAAGATCATCGAACCATACCATCCTGAGGCCAATACACCTGTAGAAAGGGGGCACCGGACCTTGAAAAACACAATCGCTAAGCTGGCGGCAGATAACCTAGGAAACTGGCCTCGGTACGTTAAGCAGGCGGTCTTCTCAGATAACATGACGTCGAAGAGGACGACGGGGTGCATTCCGATAGAACTCTGGTATGGGAGAGAGATTGATTTCCCGCTGGAAGTTTTGGTTCCTACCTGGAACAGGCTAGATGACAATCCGCACATGTCTACGGAGGAGCTAATCGTCGCACGAAGCCAACAGGTCGTTAGAAATGAAGAAGCCTTGGAGGATGTGGTTAAGCGTGTGATGGATAGCCGAATGAGGGACGAAGCAAGGTGAGACGAGGTCAAGAACATCCGGAAGGAGCCGCTCCAGGTGGGGGAAATGGTATTAGTTAGGAACGCGACTCTTGAAAGCACGTGGTCAGGACAACTGGGGAAGAGATTCAAAGGCCCCTACCGGGTCGCTAAGCGGGTGGGGCTGAACACCTTTGAACTTGAGGATCTTGACGGTACTGGGATAAAAGGGTCATTTTCGGGACAGAGGCTGGTCAGGTTTTTGAGCCGGGATCCGGTGGAGCAATGGTTGCAAGAGACTCAGGACAAGTGACAGAGAATTGACAACTTGAAAGGCAAGCAGCTGACCATAATTCTGTACCGCTTCTCTGCGGAAGTGATCATGACTACAGGGGTTGTTTGTTTTTGTGTCTTCCTTCTTTTTTGAGGCATGGGGTGACTGCTTGGGCGAAATATGAATGGGGTTGGGAGCCTGGGGCAATGTATTATAGTTTTGTGGGACACTTTTGGGGACTCCCTATATGGGGCACCTATGCGCTGGGACAATGTACCAAAGTTTTTGGGGGATATGGGACTGCCACCTATACCGCGACTCTGAGAGAACTATCAATCATACGGAGGCAAGCAAGGATTCTGGGGAATGAGCCTGCAAATTCGCAATGGGAGAGGGAGGGAATGTGTGTGTATAAGGGATGTTGTGGCTTATTATGTATGAACAGGACCAGGGAAGAAGAACACAGCAAGAAAATATAAAAATGAAATTCGAAAACGAGAATGACAGCAATGTCATCAACAGGCCTAGCGGGGAACAAGGGGCAAGACCGGTTGGGGAATCAAGTACCAGAAAGAGGAAGTTGTATGTGGGTTTTGACTTCAACTTGGTTGTGGGCAAAGGGGGAAGGAAGCAAGGGACCAGGGGACTCTCACCCCTGAGAGAGGGGGAACCAATAGATCTCCCATCTGACAGTGGGAGCAGTAAGGGGGAAGATGTGAGCCCAAGGAAGAGGCAGAGGTTGGACGAGGAAGAGCCCAACGAGATCATAGATCTCTGCAGCGGGGAGGAGGACGAGGAGGTTACAAGGCCAATAGAAGTAGTTCGGGGAAGGGATAACGATCCGGGCGATGAAAATGACAAATGGATAAAGGAGTTTGACCCATCTTGCAGTGATTGGTTTAATCAATGGACGAGTATCATGCGGTATGAGTGGGCCATCAAGGCACAAGAAAAGCTAAGCAGGGGAGAAGACATAGCGCCAACAACCTTCTTCAAGGAAGGGGCGCTCCTTGACCTGCAAAGAACGAAGAGAAGGATTCAGAGGGAAATCGACGCTCGCGCAAGGCAGGCCCAACACAGGGCAACTGAGCAACAAGGGGACAACAAACATAACATGGAATAGCTAGAAAATGGGGAGGACGGGTACTTGGGCAGGCAGAACTGTCATATTGAACTTTGCATTTGATTTTTTTTGGGAGTAGACCACAATGGGACAACTTTCCTTTTGGGAAATGACTAAGGACTGAGCAGCTAGTGCTACTTTGCATAAGTACTTGCTTCTTCAGAAGGACGTGAGGACCAATAAGCTTGAGACTAGAGCTATGAAGGGTTGACTACGTCTAGAAAAAGCAAAAGGGAAAAGGAGACCTAGATGAGGCGAGCCTGAGGTGTCGTTCTTGTACATGAATTTTCTCATTTTCCTTCTGGAAAACCGCAAATAGGACTGCTCCTTGAAATGGGGAAGTAAACAGGGATTGGGTAGCCAGTGCTACTTTGCATAAGTACTCGCTTCTTTAAAAAATGTTAGGATCAATGATAGTGAGAGGGGAACTGAAAATGGTTGACTCTGTTTTGGGAAAGGGAAAGGGGTATGGGAATTGTCGAGATTGAAGAAAGTCTATGACAAAAGAGTTTATGAAATATGTACCATTGGATGAATGAGTTACAGTATGAGTCTCTGTGAGAGGTTAGGGGACCTATGGGTAAAGAGGCGCGAAGGATCCTCTTTCCTAGGAGCCTAATCCAACCAGTTGCAAACAAGCCTAGAGCAGCAAAGGGCATGAGAAGTCGGAGAGAGAGAAAACAGTGATGACACACACCCCCTTGCTTTGGTTGAACGATCGGGTGGGCTAGTGCTGCTTGGGGTTGCGAGCCTCAATTCGAGCACTAAACGCTAAGTCGGATGTATGAATGGATATGAGAATGATGGTGGACATGAGAAAAAAGGCAAAAGCATGCGTAAAACCCAAGAAGATGACCACCTTCTAACCCCTGAGACGGAAATAGGATCCGTGTCCTCGAGGCCCACCCCCTCGGACGCTAACATTGGAATGGATAAGAATGACCCTGACCAGGCTGTTCGACTTGGAATGGATAAGAATGACCCTAACCAGGCTGTTCGACTTGGAATTGATAAGGATGACCCTAACCAGGCTGTCCGATGGAAATGGATAAGGATGACCCTGACCAGGCTGTCCCATTGAAATGGATAAGAATGACCCTAACCAAATTATTCGGAATGACCCCTGACAAGGGTCATTCCTTGGAATTGGCGCTGGGGTCCCCTGCAAGAACTGATTGAGAGATATTGATTGAACAAGAGTTGGAATGAGCACTGTGAGATGAAAAAGTCCGGTGGGTCGCTCATTGAAATAGCCATCATGGACGGATGGAAGAAAGGAACGCATTAGAAAGAGAATGGCACGATAAAGAAGGACGGGGCCCCAGAGGAGAAGAGCATAAACCGTTGGGACGGTCATAGGGATTGGACATGGAAGAAAAAGAGGTTGAAGATTGGAAGTAGGCTGACAGGTCAATCTTGGAAGAGAGCTAGTGAAGAAGCGACCACCGGATCAGTCAAGAGAAATGACCTTGTTGATGAGAGGCTGTCGGACTAGCCATGAGAACCAGCTATGAGATGAAAACAGTATTGGCTTGAGTGACGAGAATTTGATATTGCATTGCATAAGTCAGGGGACCCTAGGCAACTTGAAATGGACCTGGAAATAACATTGAAATGAATTTTTCGTTTTTTTCTAGTCCTTGCCCTCAGCAAGAGGGGAGTACCGTTGCTTGCACTGCGACCACAAGACCTCTATCCCTTAGAGGGAAAAAGTCTCAGTGCGACCTGTCCCTCATAAGAAATGGATGAAACATTGAAATGAATTTTTCGTTTTTTTCT